TTTTTTGAGAAGCGACAATTCCCTCTCTAACGTGGTAACTTTCCCTTCTAGCTCCTTTACCATTTTTGTCAGCTCTTCCTGCGAATCCAGTGAGTTCTGGATTTTCACTCAGGTGTTGCCTACATCTGGAGCAGCTTTTCGATCGGCACCCTTAGCCAGTGCTGGGCATATGTAGCAGAGACACTGCAAGGCGTCTTTTCCTGCGTAGACTTCGTAGGCTTTACGGTCTAGGCGAGCACATGATTGGTGGTACCAGTATCCACAGCAATCGCACTGAATACCGTCAGAGACCATTTTTTGGCACTTAAGAGCTCCACAGCAACCTGTTTTGGCCATTGCAAAGCTAACAGTGTGCAACTAATTTCTCTACGTAAAATGTCCTAGGCAATGAAATCACTGATTTCAAAAAGTAATACCCGAAGACTTTTACACAATTAACAGCTCTGTTGAGCCTTCTCCTTGTTTCTGTTGATTCCTGCGTTCTGCTTGGGTAAGCATACATCAAAGTATGTTTTACATTTTTTGTGTTATTTGGTTATGACCATTTATAGATACCGCATAAATTATCGTGGTCTATTCGTTGAATTTGTGTGCTCACTTCTCGTTCGTATTGGGTTCATTCGATCGGGATCGTTCGTTGAGACAGTTAAAGATCGTTCGTTCCTGTTCCGGATCGGTCGTTATCTTGTTGATCAAGCTCGTTCGTATCAGATCACGAAATTGGGTTTACTCGTACGCGTATTGGAATTGCGAACTCAAGCAGATGTAACAGCCCCTTAGGGATGATAAAGTCATTGAGGTAAGCACTACAGACACCATGGACGATCTATTAATGCCAAGAGCTCAGCTATTGGCTAAGAAACAAACGGCTCGAATATCCCTCCTAAACGGTATAGAAAGCGAGCATCTGACAAAACATAGGGTTCAGTTAATCATTGGTTGTGATATTTCCCAAGCACATTGGGTGATTAATGGTCAATACGGCTGGCCAAATGAGCTCTTTGCGATCGAAACTGCGATGGGATGGTTGATTATGGGACCGTCCTTGAGCGTAATAGCTTACAAACAAATGTTTGCAGTTACTCGTGTGAGTAAAACTAGAATCATGTTGGAGGATTTATACAATAAGCAGTTTGAAAACCTGCATACGATGGTCATAAACCACTCCGAGGAAGATCGTCGAGCATTACAAATAGAAGAGGAATCAATAAAACCGATTTAGCATCGGATTAACGTGGAAAACGAAACCAGAGATCATGCAGAACAACTACGAGCTAGTGTTTCGGAGGTTAGAACGCTTAAAATGCAGGTCTATGCGCGATCGAAATTTATTTAACAGGTACAATAGTTTATTGAACGATCACTTTGGGTCTGACTGTCCACTGGAAGTCGCAGAACCGCAGAACCAAGTCGTACCTACCAAATCATCCGGTGATAAATGCGAAGAAATTTGAAAAGGTTAGAATAGTATTTGATTGTGCAGCCACCTATCAAGGAAGTTGTCTTAACCAAAACATACTGTCTGAACCAAATACCGTAGCTTACTTATTTCGAGTACTGCTGCGCTTTCACTTAGGCAAAGTAGCTGTAACATCAGACGTAGAAGAGATTTTTTTGCAGGTTAGGGTGCCTGAACGTGACTGGGGGGCAGAGGTGGACGCATAAATCGCAGATGTGGACGCACACTCGAGGGCACACCACCGAAGGAATTCTGGATGCGTGATTGGCCTGTGGCCACTATCAGTCCTGTGCAACCTGACCTGACCTGACCTGACCAGTAAGGTTCCTATGGTGGCACGATGGAGATCTCAATCAACAACCAAAAGAATGAAGAATTTTAGTTCATCCATTTGGTGCCAATTCGTCGCCATTTTGTGCGAACTATGCCTTACGCCGCACGGTCGAATCATTCAGAGATATAAGCAATGAGCGGGTGAGATGTGCAATTAGACGATATTCGTACGTTGACGACTGTTTAGCAACGTTTAACGATGCCAAACA